GGGGGTTGCTACATTTAACAGAAACAGAAAGTGGGGATTTAATGTTTATTTCTAAATATTACTTACCTCTAAATCCACTACATAGCCAAAATGACAAAGCTGTGTCTCAAAACTCAAGGAATGGAGTTCTTCAGTCACAATAAGAGGCCCCTAAATAAGGAAATGTTGCATTCAAATTATTTTCATTATTTTTTTCAATGAATTTTGCACAGGACAAAATGTTTCAATATATATATAATATAAATACGTACAGTCCCTCTATGTGGGCATGCAATGTCTTGTCTATGTGCAGCTTTTATTAGTCCCAGTGAACTGAGAGTGAAGACATATCATACAGCAAGCTGAAGCGGATTTCTGTCATCAGTGGCAGTTTATCGTGAAGTTTAAGGGCTTGTTCATACTATATCCAGTGCGTTCTGGCACAGTTAGTGGCCAGAACGCACTGGATCGCATAGTGCAAACCTATTTCTTGCAACCGGACTGTGGGCATTGATGTGCCACGCATTCTAGTGCGGGAAATTGCACTGCGAGTGGGAGGCGTGGCTTCGGTGTCATTGACTTGAATGCCGCCACCAGGCCCCCCCCCAGAACGCGGGGAAGCTTGCTCTATGCAATCCAGTGCGTTCTGGCCACTAACCAGGCTGAAACGCACTGGATGCGGTATGAAAAAGCCCTAAAGACTTCCTGTGTCCATCAGTGGAGAAAGAAAGGACCTTTCAATCTATTTTGCAAATGCATTTAAAAGAAATATTAAACAAAACTGCAAACTTTTATAAAGCAACCCCAAATGTAAAGAACAGTTATCGGCCCCCTAAATCTTTCAAAATGACACTTCCATATTATTTTCTTATGTGGCACCTTCTATACCTACACATAAGAAAATCATGTATGCAGAAATATATGAGCACTTTACCTCATTAGTCCTGTTTCCTGCATTCTTTTGTTCTTTTAATTGCTAAAAAGTAAACATAGAAAGAAACATAGTAATTACCTAAAGTCCCAGAGCATTTCAGAGAAGAATAGACTTACTGTGCAGGCAAAACAAGGGAAGCAGCCATTAATTATAATGATTTTATCCACAACAAAAATGTGACAAGTTTTCCATGAACTTATAAATTGATTAGGGCAGGTAGGTTTGAAATAAACCCTTTATCTCCTGGTTATCAGCACCTCCAATGGACTTGGTGGAACTAGCCATCCCAAATTCAAGCTCATGTATTTAAAATGCAATTCTGTCATATTTATATAGCATCAATAATGTAAGTATTAGCTTTTCCCGCAGTCTTACATTTCTATAGTATATAACATTTACATGTGAATTAACCGCTCGATTATACATAATAAACAGCTAGATATTTTTACGTTCAATGATAACGTACCAGATGTCTGAACTCAGCTGCTAAGCATCCATTTGTGGATTCTTCCATATTCATTACTTTTGTGTTTGTACCTAGAATATTAAATTTTCGGAACCTGCCAGAAAGGAAATTAACAGAAATTGTGTTCACTGATGCAAACCAATAGATCTCTATACAAATTCAATGAATATGAGTTATTAAAGCACAACTCCAGAGAAAACTATTATTATGAACCTTTGGAGTGGGGCTACCCCCATCCTGCAAGGATTGACTGCTCGTTTTGGTCTAGGGATTAAACTATAGGTATACTTACCTGATCCACGTGGCAGCGCTCCCTCTTGCCTGTCCCCTCCTACGCTGTAGCGATGGAATGTCCTTCGGCGTCCTCAAGTCCTATACACTGTTTATAGAACATGATAATTTATAGGACCTTAGACCACCGGAGCGGAGAGGAGAGAGAGAGGCTCCAGGGGCCGGTCTACGAACAAGCTGTCTCAGAGCATCAGGTGAGTATAACTTTTTCTTTTCCACCCTAATCACAAATGATCACTTAAACCTTGCAGTGCAGGGGTAGCCCCACTGCAGCGGCTAATAATATTTTCCCCTAGAGTTCTGCTTTAAGCAAGCTTTGTAGTTATAAATATGGTAAAAACATTAGGTCTATATACTGTATCTGTTTCAGAAACATAAAACCAGCATCACTTACCCTTTCACTGTATTCTTCTCATTGACATCTCTAAAGAGAAAATATACAAAAAATGTTTTTTAAATGAAGCTTATGAATGTATTTAAGCCCAATACATCTACAGTATGACTTACAATAAAATGCAAGTCATATAATGTGTTTGTAATATGTATCTTACAACACCACTGCAAGGGTCACATATAGTGATGTTATTTTTTTGGATAATAACAGGTTTTCATTATTCTATCATATTTTATGAAATCAGGTTTATATTGTAGCTACAAAACAGTGTAGATCACATTTTAGTTTTAGTCAAAAATAGCAATAAAAAATTGCAGGCTCCGTTCAGATGAATTTTTCCAATTAGCTCCTTCGATCTTCTGATCGAGGGATGACCTTGTGTGAATTTCTGCCAGTTCATCAAGCACCAGCTGAAATTCGCATAGTGTATGGCCAGTTTAAGTCAGCATTCTCTACTTCTTTAGTAAATCAATATTCTTTAGTAAATCAGCCCTTATGCCAGCATTGATAAGAATGTATTCCCATGTAACTGTGGGTTGGGAAGAAAACAATACCAAAAAGGATTTTCTCATATACTGCATATGCTTTACAGGATTTTAGGAACACTCTCAACTGCCAAGCAGACATAGGTCACTCTCACCAATACACAAACCTGCAATCCAAACAGCTATTAAATGAGTCTAACCCTCTACTGCATCCTCAGCTTCTTTACTTCCTGTAAAACATCTCAGAATTTTGCCATATAATAAAATAAAATTCAGATTTACTAGGCAGGCCAATCTGCCTGCTCAGGCTTCTTCCTCAACTTCCACCCTAATACATCTCACTATTTTAACTGATCAAAGTCTTCTTTTTTATTATCCAAGCTCGAACAACACAGAGTCAAGGAGTCTTTGGTGGATCAGATTTGTTATCATTTTAAACCTGCTTGTAATTATGTAGTTTATGTGATCACTTATTTTCTTAAACATTTTTATTAGATTTGCTCATTATGGATTTAATAAGCATATATGTACATACTTATCAAATACTGCTTTTACTTTTAGCTGATAATTAAGCTCCGGTAGTTTCACCAAAAGTCTGTAAAAGAGAAAAAAAAAATGACAACACAAATAAAAATTTGCAGAAGGAAAAAAAACAAAACAAAACATACACCATTCTAAAAATGCCTCTGATACTTTTTCACATGCTACAAAGTAAACAAAAATATCATCATGAAAAAATACTACATCACACAGAGATTGATGAGTTATATTTCTCCATGGCCATCAATCAGTAATTATTATGTGGGCTAATTTTCTAAAGGACTTCAGTATCTTTACACAATAAAGTGTGTGAATACGTACTTCAAGTATCCAATCATGTTAAAAGCAAATTCCTGTTCACAGTGAATACCCAATCATGTGCAGATGAAATAGGTAAACGGGAATTTGCTTTTCACATGATTACATAATTGAAGTGAATATTCACACATTGACCGCGCTGATTCACACCAGCAGTTACGCTACAACGTACAGCTGCTGGTGTGCATTGCCAGGTACAGTGCTGATGTGCTGATTCCGGCGCATCACACTGTTTATCTTTTTTTTATAATGTCAGAAATGTAATGAAATGTTACAAGTTACATTGTAGTAAGTTCTATGGGCTGAGCGTGGTGCGATGAGGTTGTACTATATCGCACCCCGCTGCACTGAAAAAAAAAGCTCTGCAAGAACTAAGCCTATTTGAAACGAGGCAAATTGCCTTGTCTAGCATTGGGGCTGTGCTGGAAAATGCGGCTAGCTCAGCCCCAACGCATCTGGTTTGACTCTAGCCTAAATATGTGAAGATTTTCAACTCCTTTAAAAAAATCAGCCTCCATGTGTGAAGAGTTTAATTCTAGGTCTAAATATATTTAACACACAGAACAAGCATGGGGCTGGCAGGAAGGAAGCACCTGGTAAGCGCAAAGTCATATGATATGTGATGTGACCATGCTAGCCTCACTTCACTATCCTTTTCTTCCATAAATTTGAAAGGAGTTTCATTTAAATATACTATAACGTACATGTGTACTTTTAAGAACAAATGCACTAATCCAATATCCCAAGCCAGCCCTTCTAATCTACACTAAAAATCCCCACACCATCCACAAACTTACATACAGTAGGACAACCCTGTACAAGTCTGTGAGGGCACATTGCACAGAGTGCCAGGGTCCAAGAGGATTTTTAGACAAGGCGCAGGACAGGAGCTGGGGAGGGTGGGATAGTGTATTTCCTTATAAAGGTACATATGTGCCTTA